AGACCCAAAGGTCCCAGGTTCGATTCTGGTCAAGGGCATGTACCTTGGTTGCGGGCACATCCCCCGTAGGGAGTGTGCAGGAGGCAGTTGATCGATGTTTCCCTCTCATTGATGTTTCTGACTCTCTATCCCTCTCCCTTCCTCTCTGTAAGAAATCAATAAAATATATATTTTAAAAAATAGTTGAGCCCTAGCCAGTTGCTCAGTGGATAGAGCGTTGGACTGCAGACGGAAGGATACCAGGTTCAATTCCGGGCAAGGGCACATGCGTGGGTTGTGGGCTCGATCCCCTGTAGGGGGCATGCAGGAGGCAGTAAATAAATGATTCTCCCTTATCATTGATGTTTCCATCTCTCTCTTCCTCTCCCTTCCCCTCTAAAATCAATAAAAACATACTTAAAAAAAATTGAGTTGCCCAGACGGCGTGCCTCAGTGGTTGAGCACTGACCTATGAATTAGGAGATCAGGGTTCAATTCCCATTCGGGGCACATGCCCAGGCTGCGGGTTGCAGGTTCAATCCTAGGTAGGGAACCTTCAGGGGGGAGCCAGTAGGTGATTCGCTCTCATCATTGCTGTTTCCATCTCTCCCTCTCCCTTCCTCTTTGAAATCAATAGAAATATATATATATATTTTTAAAAATGGTAAGTTTCCTATGTGTAGTTTACCACCATTATAAAAACAAAGCCCTTGCCTTGGGAGTCTCAGCTGGGTCATCCCATGCACCAAAAGGTTGCTGGTTGGATTCCTGGTGCGGGCACATACCGGGTTTCAGGCTTGATCCCCAGTTGGGGGCGGGGGTGCAGGAGGCAGCCTATGGGTGTTGTGCTCTCACATTGATTTCTCTCTCTCTTTCTCTCTCTCTCTCTCTTTCTTCCTTTTCCTCTAAAAATCAATTTTAAAAATCTTTTTTAAAAAAGAGAAAAAGCAGCTCTTTTCACTCTGCGCACTTAGCCAAACCTGAAATGACTGTGAGTTTCCAGGAGCGAGTCATCATGAAGGCAGGTGGGGCCCCTGGGCCCGGAGGACCAGGTTTGCTGTTGGTGTCTCACTGCTGCACCCCAGCACCCCGCCCAATGGTCTCTGCATAAGCTCAGAGGCATTTAGTGGCCACCCAGCAACTAAACAGCTTATCATCACTCAGCACCGTCTCTGCCAGGTGCCTGCCTCATGGGGCCCTCAGAGCCAGCCCTGGGAGGCAGGTGTCACTCATGATGGCCATTTGATAGAGGAGCAAAGGGGTCTCAGAGAGGGATAGGGACCGGTTGGGGTCCTGCAGCCAGGAAAGGAGGGGACCTGGATTTATTGGGAGCTGGGGAGGGCTGGGGGCACGACTCCTGGGTCCCCTCACCTGGAGAAGGCAGGGACCTGAGCGGCCACCCCTCCAAAGTCTCAGTGTCCCCAAGCCACCCCACTGTACTCACTACTTCTGGCTCTGCAGGTGCAGCGTGGAGGGTGCTCCCAGGTCCCCAAGAGGCTCCCAGGAGCAGCTCAAGTCGCCTAAGGGCCCAACACCATAGCACCGCAGGGGCCCCGGGCTGCCTGGGAGAAGACGAGAGTCCAGGGAGGGGAGTGGTCAATTCCCCGCCTCCTCACTGCCCAGAACCCGACCGCCCCCAAGTTCTGATCATCCCAGAGGGTAACGGGGTCCCTTTCGCAAGTGAGCAGCAGGAAGGGGGCGCTGGGCACCTCCACCCAGGCTTTGGA